TGGCCATTATCACATTTTGGTATCTGTTTACTATTCTTATGCTTGAGGACAAGCATGGTTTAAGTGTGGGGGAAATTGATAGGTTGCAATTTTATCATTTATTTTATTATTAATTCTCCCTATTACTTGACCTAATGTGAATTAATTATTAGATTCTACTCACTTTTCATAATTTATATTTATTTTCAGGGAGTAGAACAAAAATATCACAATAAAGGCCAATTTGACAGTTATCGGGAAAGAGTTCACATAGCAGGCAATCAAGGGCATTTTTGGAATAAGGAGATACAAGTCTTTTTTGGTAATTCGCAGAGAGCAGCATTAAAAGGAGGAACGCAGGGCTGAAGTAAAGAGTCTTCTTCTTCCCCCTGGGGGAGCCGCCGCACAGTAGGGAGCTGGCTTCCCTCTTAGTTTTTTTCATTTTTATAGTTTAGCTTTTCCTTTGACCGTTGGGTCTCCTTCGTCTTGTAGTGGAGAGCTTTTGACTTTTCCTTGGAATCTTTTGTGGCTACCTCCTACGTGGGTCAGGAGCATTGAAGACAAAATCATCCTTTGTAACCTTACTTTGCTTTATTCCTTCGATTGAATTGAAGTTTCCTAAATTTCTATACTATGGCCGCGACTGATGCTTTGATTTTACATGGGTTTTCCTCATCGGCAATGAGCTAAACCCCTTTGTCTAGTCAAGGGACTACTGAGGCTCTGGTTTGCCTAAAAATTGTGAGATCGATTTAATTTTACCTTTTTCTTTTATTTATTGATATTCGCATATTCCCTGATTGTAGTGCTTATGATTGTTTAATTATTGATTGTCTTGGATCCGGATAATTAGTTAATTTAATAATCTATTGTCAATTAGGGTGTTAAATCCGTAATTGTTTAATTGCTCTAAAATAGTGACAATTGGCATGATTAGATTTGTGTCAGGGGAATACGCGGGCTAATCTAAAATAACCCTGGTAGTGCGTTATTTGGTTAGAATAGGGCTCCTCTAATACGTAAGGCAATTGGGAAATTAAATTCTACGGGCGTACCTAGGATTATTTCTCAATTAGAGCAGTGATTAACGGGCGTACCTTGATCACCGACACAGTAAGGAGGGGTTGATTGCCATCGCTTGTTTGGTAGTTATAACCTATTTATTGATAAATAATTGGAATTGCCTTTGTTTCGATGATCAATTAGGTGCACCATTGCTGAAGTTATTTCTTGGCTAGATTCTTAATTATCACTCATTTGATTTTAGTAAATTGTTATTTAATTTTTAGTAGTTTCTTAGATTTTATTTGAATTTCTTTTATTGTCACCTTCTGCACAAAAACACCCCCTTTGTTACTGTGAACTTGAAAAGAAACAATTACTCCCAGTCCCTGTGGATTCGACCCTGCTTACCACTATCTACAGAAATTACTTTTAGTTTGAGCAGGTTTTATTATTGCACAGGCTGACACCCTGTCATTAACTTGCTCATTTTTTAGCATTACCAATTTATGATAAGTTTTAACCTCTTTTCTTATCTTTCTAAAATAAAATTTTAAATTTATATATGAAAAAAATGTTAGGGGTTCAAAATTTTTGGATTAAGTTTTAATATTAACTTTTATAGTATTTAGTTCAAATTTTTATATTCTTATTATTCAATTATTAAATAATATGTAATTTTGCGACATAGAGTATCAATGGAAAAAAATTGGTAATTAGGCTTATTGAGCATTATAAGTAAATATTTAAAACTAATGATGGATACAAATAGCGGTATAAATTGATAACTTAGTTTGCAAAAATGAATTTAAATGAGTTTACAAAAAGTTAAAATAAATGGGTTATAAATGGGTAATTGGGTTATTCAATTCATTTTTTGACTTACCCATTTATACCCATCTAATTAAATGGGTATAAATGGGTTGATTCACTTATACCCATTACCCATTTCACCCAAGCCAAACCCGCCCAAGTCACCCATTTTGCCACCTCTAATTACAAGGATAGGAAGGGGTCTACATTCTACATTACCGACATATCACCTTTTGGTGACATGGTGCAGTAGTTTTTTTTTTTAATAGTGTAATAGAGAGGGTTCAAACTCGAGACTTTTCACTTAAACTTCCTCTTTCAAACCATTCAATCCATCCTTTCCCTCATGACATAGTAGTTTTGAAATAATGTGAAAAGTGAAATGTAATATTATATGTACATATTAAACAAAACGTCTTCAATAGCTCGATAAATGCAAAATAGGATAGGTTAAATCTACACCGTTAATGCATTAATTACCTGTACTATGTGTATTGATTACTTATACGGGTAATTTTAAAAGGGTCTATATATATATATATATATTCAGCATCCGCTAAGATGTATGACAGGCACGACACCTGTGCAATAATAAATACCTGTTTAAGAAAAATAAATTTTCTGTGTATAGTAGTAAACAGGGTCGAATCCACAGGGATTGGGAAAAATTCGATTCTTTTTAAATTCGAGACACGGGGGATTTTTATCAGATAAAACTAAAAATAAATAATTAAACAATTTAACTAAAAATAATCAAACAATTTAACCAAAAATAAATAATTAATTAATACGAATGTAAATGGCAATTAAATAAATAATAAATAAATTCTAGTCAAGGATACAACTACGTAGACACAGTCCATTCATCCGATCATTGATGCAAAGAAAGTTCACTTAATTTTATTAACAGGTTAGTTATAGTCGCCGATAAGCTCTAACGACCAGCTTTTCCTTAATTTATTGATAACCAAGGTACGACCGTTGATTACCCCTAACCAGGAAATACTCCTAGGTACGACCGCAGGAATTAATTTCCTAATTGCATTAAAAACTAGAAAAGCCTAACCCAAATTAATAACACGCTACGAGGGTTATTTAAATCAGATTGCATGTCCCCCTAGTATGTGAAAATACTAGTTGTCACTAATATTAACCAACTAAACAATTACGGATTTAATTGATTAATTTGACAGGAGATTAAAAAGTCAAATTGCACATCGGGCCCTTGATATCCAATTAACAAAATAATCCCATGGAAATTAAAATAGAAAACATGCAAATATTAATAAATTAAGGAACACGTAAAATTAATTAGATCTCACAGATAATTGGGACTGCGTCTTCGCATTGATCCTTGACTAGAGAAGAAAATTAGTCACGCCTCATAAGAAAATCTTCACACAATTCAATTGAATTTAAAGACATCATCTTTCTTCGATAATTGAGAGAGTGAATAACAAAACTCTCGGAAGAGAATAAGAAAATTGCACACTAGAATTCAACAAACCAAAACAACTCCCTATTCTCTCCTCTGGAACATCCCTCGGAGAGAAAACTAAAAACTCCTCTCTCCTCCTACGGAGCTTCTCTGGAGAGAAAACTCAAACTAGTCTAATGTCTTCTGAAGCTCGTCCGATTTCTTCATACATAAAAAAACCAGCCAAAATGGAGACATCACCCCACGTCCTTCAAAGAGGTCATCATTTCTCTACACAATCATTTCCATTCCACTCAAAACAAAAGCAATTGTCGGTTTTCTTTTTGACCAAGTGCACACGTTCACCAACAAGAAAGCAAAACCACAAATGTGCAAAGAAAGCACACTTTAGACAATACAACTTATTTGCGGTCCCCACCAACTTTGACATGTTGTTTAGTCAAATTGAATTCCCAAATGCAATTCCATTCTTCTACGTTGGTTTGCACCAAAATTGTGTAAAGTTTCACAATAATCTTATCAAGAGGTTTCTGCTCCAATTTCTGAAATTATATCCAAATATCAAATATAAATATATATTGATAATTAAAGCAAATTAAAGCAATATTTGGCAAGGATAAAAAGGAAAATTAACAATAAAATTACTAACAATTAACACCCTATCAATGTACTTCAAGTGTTAAATTTTTGGGAAAATAAGCTTAATGAGAGAAAATGTATAAATGCAAGGGAAGATAGTAATTGTTGGTGTGTACGTATACATTGTAAATTGGGAGAAAATTTGGTATGTTAAAAAATGTCTATTAGACACATGCTAAAAAAAACCATTTTAAAAATAGTGGAGCAGAACGAATAAGAATTTGTTAGAAAACCATGGAATGCCAAAGGGCACCAGTCTGGTGCTGCAGAGATGATTTAGTCCGCTCCAATTCACAATGACCCAGTTTTTGTGTCTCCTTCCGCATAGTATAGGAGTAAGAGCAGGAGTAGATATACGTGATTCATATTTGACACCAAAAAGAAAAGAAAAGAAAGCCTACTATTGATTTCCTTCAATTTTGATACACAATTAATTACCCTTTGCTTTCTTAAATCTAAACCCTGCTACTTTTTCGGGGGTGACATTCCAACCATAGATAAATATAAAACAAGAGAACAAATACCTTCCCTGTACAATCATGTTACAAGTAAACCAAAACCGTGCAAATCGTTCTTCAAATTTTATAGCAATCAGTCCAATTACAAATGCAAAAAAAAAATAATAATAATTTGGAAATTTAGTCTTGATATAGGGTTAATTTCAATATATTACATAACTCTTGAAACTTATTTTCACATTTCACTCTAAACTAGCAGTTGTAATTTGTAAATTGCAATCGCTTTATATCTTATATACCAAATTGCGACAATAGATAGTTTAAAATCAATTGAAAAATTTAAAAAATTTCTTTAATGAATAGGCTTTAGCACCCCTAAATCAAATGTGCTTAACCTAAATTGAAGTATCTGGATTGAAAAATATAACTACCAAAACGTCACTAATTTGAGAAGTGTGCCACAAATTGATAGGGGTACACTCATATTTTAGGGTGTAAATTTTGAAATAGTTATAGTTCAGGGTTGCATGTTACAATTAGCTCGAAAATGTTGCAGATCATTTGGTTCTGCTTGTTAAGGCATGATAAAGGCTGCGCTCCTTAGTTCCTGCAAACCATCTTCCATCAACATACCTTTTCTTTACAAGCTTTTTTTTTCTGAAGAAATTTGATTTTCAAAGAGAGAGAGAGAGCAGGAGACAAACAATGAATCGAGCTTCTATTGATTCCGTCACTGATCAACTCTCAAGGCTGTTGTGCCTGCCAAACTTGCCCTTGCACATGAAGCAGCAAATTCAGAGCCTTCAACTGGAGCTAAGGTTCATGAAAATGTTCTGCTGCTGCTTGAAAAACTGGATTGCTGCTGCTGATCATGAGAACATGCATTTGGGATCAGTACGAAACAGTACCGAAGGCACTGTGGAAGCATCAGGAAAGGGGCTATACAATGCTGGGTATCGTGCAATAATTGGAAAATATTTCAAAGATTGGGAACTCCTGGCATCTAATATGCTAAGAGAAGTTGAGAAATGTAAGCCAGAAATAAGAGAAACTGCCATTTCTTTATTTGATCTTTCATCCCAATTCATAGCTCCCAGGGCTGTTGACGAGATCCTGGATTTCATTGATTCCATTTTAATGAATTTGAAGGATCTTGTCAGCTTGAAAGGTGAAGTGATTATTGTCTCAGTGAAGAAGCAGATCGAAGTACTCGAAGGGAAGCTGAGGTTTCTCAGAAACTTCGTTGACTTCGTAGCAAGAAGATGTGGCAACCAGGACAAAATGGAGGATTTCATGACTACCCATGTTCAAGCATGGGCAAGAAACTCTGCTTGTTTGTCACTGCTATGTTGGACAGATGGCATGAACAAAGACAAGGAACCCCAGAGGAATGCTATGCTTCCTCAGTTGCTACTGAAGATCATGCCTTGTAGTCAAGCAGTTGCGCAGATGTATCTTGAACTCCTGAAGTCAACGCCATCTGACACTCTTTTAATGGGTGAAATTGTTGCTGGCTTTGTCGATTCTCTCCTAGGAAATGCAGTCAAATCTTTAAAGGTTGATCTTGCTATCCTTCGAGAAGGACTCCTGTTCGCGATAACATTTCTGGTGGATCACCCAAAAGAGTCACCAAGAAAAACTGAGTTTGCTGATATGGTTGAGAGTTTGGTGATATCTGTCATTTGCTCTCTTCATGTTGCTCAAACTGAAGATGGAGCTTCCAAGGCAAGAAATGATAATCTTTCTGATTTTCTGAAAAAGATAGAGAAAGTCAAGGCAGAGGTCAGGGAGCTTTATATCCCCATGCCAAATTCATTGGAGTCTAATTTTCCCAGGACTAATGGAATGGGATTTATTGATTTCCTCATGGGAAACTTGAATGACATGATGCAGTACAAGGCCAACCATATTCCTTTTGGGGAGCATAAAGTTATGGCAGTCCTCGAGGTGCTGTCATGCTTTAGGTCCTGTCTTCACGATACAGAGAACGTGCAAAATGACTATCAGGAGGTGAATGCTCTCCAGACACGGATTATCAATCTGGCATACCAGGTGGAAAATGTAATGAATTCATGTGCTATTTCAGGTATTCCTATTTGGTATCAGATTATCTGCTTCTCTGATATCCAGGAAGAAATCAATTTTTGCGGGACTGAGATCGTGACCATGAAGCAGAAATACAATATTGGGAAGCAAATTGCTGAGACAACTTCCAAGCTTGCCCATTCATCACGAAGTAATAATTCAAAATTTGATGAAGATGTTGTGGGATTCAAGGATGAGGCGAATCAGATAATTGATTTGCTTACAAGTGGATCGAAGAACCGAGAGATTGTCTCAATTGTTGGAATGCCAGGTGTAGGTAAGACCACTCTAACTAGGAAAGTTTATAATGATCCTTCAACCACACTGACTTTCACGAACTTGCCTGGTGTTATGTTTCGTAAGTATATACAAGCAGAGACCTATTACTTGCCATTTTAAAGTGTCTTAGTGTCAGTATTGATGATGTTAAGCTCTCAAAGATGAGCAATGAAGATCTGGAGGAACAGCTCAGGAGATGCTTACTGAAACAAAGGTACCTCGTGGTAATGGATGACATTTGGGATATTAAAGCTTGGAATGTTGTAAAACAGTCACTTCCAGATGATGGAAATAGAAGTAGAATTATTTTCACGACTCAAAATCACCATCTTATATCAGATGATCAAGGAAGTAGCAAAACTTATCTGCTTTCTCCACTGATTGAGGAGAAACCTTGGGAGTTTTTGCAAGAGAAGATATTTCACAAAGATGCTTGCCCTCAAGAACTATTGGAAATTGGAAAGAGAATTGTGGAACATTGCGAAGGATTACCCCTGGCAATAACTGTTATTGCAGGTCTCCTTGCAAAGGAAAAGAAGAATGTAGGATGGTGGAAGCAAGTAGAAGCAAGCTTAAGTTCTGACTCAACCACAAAGGGATACATGGGAGCTATAGAACTAAGCTACAAGCATTTAATGGATTATCTAAAGCCTTGTTTCCTATACTTTGGAGCATTCCGGAAGGGTGAAGTAATTGGTGCCAGAAAGTTGACCCTGTTATGGAATGCCGAAGGCTTTGTAAACAGAAACCAGAGGAGTTGCTTTGAGGTCGTGGCGAAGGAGTACTTGAAGGAGCTTAACGATCGAAGTCTAGTTATTGTTTCTGAAAGAAGGTTCAATGGGGGAATAAAAGCATGTCGCCTCCATGATCTGCTACACAAATTTTGCTCAAAAAAAGCAAAAGACGAAAAGTTTTTACATGTGCTGGAACGGTCTGAGGATTCGGATCATATCCTTAATCCTGTAAAGCATGATCAATATCAATTATGCATTCATGCGGAATCCACAGCTTCTGGAAGTTTGAAACCCGCTTGTCAACGTGTGAGTTCTCTGCTCTTCTTTCGGAAAAGGGATGGTTACTTTTATGATGATGATGATAGCTATGCTTCCAATTTTTCCACTGACTTCCTAGAAAGTTGTAAACTTATTAAAGTTTTGGATTTGAAGAGTGTCTACTTGCATTCTGGCTTCCCGAAAGAAATTGTATCAATGGTGCATTTGAGATATGTATCAATTGGTGGTAGTTTTACAGAAGTTCCAGCTTCAATAGCCAACCTCTGGAACCTGGAAACTTTTGTTGTGGCAAGTACTAAAACCATTTATTTGCCGGATACATTTTGGAGGATGAAAAGTTTAAAGCACGTGGATGTCAGTGAAATGGCGATCATCTCTTTAGGGGAGTATGAGGTTGAGGATTCCTGTCAAATGGACAATGTGGAGACTTTTCTTCGCTTGCTTTCACTCAAGGAGGAAATATGGAGAAGCTATTGAGGAGGTTTAGGAGACTTCGGAAGCTGAGATGTGTAATTGTGGAATCAAAGAAGTGCAGGAGGAAAGGAATTCAGTTCCCAGCACTGGCCTCCTTGGAAGATCTTGAGTCACTGAAAATGTCTACCAATGCCTCTCATGACCAAGGGTTTTATAGTTGGATGCGGATTCAGTTTCAGGCATTCAACTTCCCCACAAAGCTGAAGAAACTAACCTTGTCTAAACTTGGTCTACCATGGACTGCCATTTCGACAATTGGGGAGCTACTCGATCTTGAGGTGCTCAAGTTGCGGGAAGGAGCCTTTAGGGGACAAAGATGGGATGTGGGAGATGACGAATTCTTAGAGCTTAAGTTCTTGGAATTATCAAACATGGACGTTGTACTCTGGAAGGCCTCCTACAAACCCTTTCCTAAGCTTGAACAACTTGTCATTGAAAATTGTTCTGAACTTGAGGAGATCCCATTTAGTTTTGGAGAGATTGAAGGCTTGAAGTTGATTCAATTGAGGAGGTGCAGCTATGATGTGGAAGATTCTGCTCAACAAATTCTCCAGGAACAGCGGGATTCAGGAAATCCGGAATTTGATGTACTTATCTTGCATTGATTTCGAGATCCAGAATATCTATGCACTCTTATTACCTGTAAGTAAATTAAAGTTCATAGTCTTTTCTTCCTTTACCTCTTCCTTTGGCCACTTCATTCATGTTTTCATTTAGTTAAGAAATGAGCAACCCTATCCCGTATTGTTGAGGGTCTATTGACTTTCGTCTCACTGCTGCTTAAAAAAAAATGAAAAATTAGCAGTACATTTATAATTTTGCTTGTTTCCCTTATAAATTAATAGTTTGGATTTATCAACTCTTGAAATCTAATGAAGATTATATATGATATCATGCAGTATTTACTCGAACAATTTTAAATCTAACACTCTAAATAAATTAACAGTTTCCCTGCTGAATTATCATGATAGACCAAGGGGTGATCAACGAGCTGAAACCATAAAATTCTGTTCAATTGATTTGAGTCTGCACCTATTTAAGTAATCATTTCCTCAGTTTTTTCCATGAAAAGACTACTCACTGTGACAGCTTGTGGAATTCAGTAACTACCCCCTTTGAAGTAACTAGAAGACCAAACAGAACACCATTGCTTGAGATTTATGTGTAATTTCTCACTCTGTATTTATTTATTATATGGTTACAGATGTTTGAAGTCAAAACCTCTGTTGATCCATCGAATTTCATGGTTGTTGGATTTGGACATGCTGTCATGGCTTTATATGCACCAAGTAAGATGGTTATCAAGATTGTATCATATTCGGACAAGATTTCAAGCATATTGTTCACTTGTGGTGGTCTATGAGGCCTATTTGTTCCAACCATCTGTGTGGATTACTGGTAATGTTGCTCAGATATAATCTATTTGTATACATACCATTCTGGGACAATTGTAAACCTACGCTCTTGTGGTACTATGTAACAAAGAAAGAGAAGCAGGAAGGAGTTTATGTTTACAATTCCAACATATCACATAATTGGTGGTACAAAGGCAAGAAGAGAAATAATCTTTCCCTTCATGCTTTCTAGAGGGGAAATATGGTATGAATAAGTAGTAAAAATCATTGTATGTCTGTTACTGAAATAAAATCTGTAGGAGAAGCTATCAGCATGCAGATCATGCAAGACTGCATCTCACTTACGCTGGAGGACAATGAACAATTGCGTGCCTTCCTTGAACCCTGATTCCAAGCACAGTGAAATATCTGCACTTTTCTTTATAGTCCTTCTGAACATTTCATCCACAATCTCGCTTCCAAAATGTTTAGTGAACATTCCCTCCATTGCAGCCCTTAGGTGCATTATCATGTTCACCGGATTGCATTATCATGTTCACCGGATCATCAATCTTGGACCTATGATCTGTCACCTCCATGCTTACAATACTGAAACAACCATTTATCTTCAGCAGCCAAGCCATCTCCTTTGGAGATGCAGAATAAATTGGTAAGTTGAAGGAATCAATTTGAGCTTCATTGAGGATTCCCTGTAAACTGCGAAATTAAAGGTATCAATCAATAATACCACATCAAGGACATCCACTTAATTGATTAAAATTTTGGAAATTTTAAAGCTCTTGTCCAGTGAAATCTCTAAGCAATTTACTGCAGCAACTAGCCAAGTGGTTCATAGGTTCTCCCTGGTTCTTATTCAGTTTTATCATTAATCTAGTAGTAGTACCTAAAGCAGATAGCTCTGCTTCTATTCCTCTACCAAGCATCCCCTCAGAATTAGGAAGTTAAGCACATCTACATCTAGATTCTTGAATGACTTGCTTGTCTCACCTCATTAGCCATATCCACAAAACTGGATCCAAGAAAGTTGAAACAGCAGATCATAGAAGGAGCCTGGCACTCCTGCTGAAAAGTATTGCCTTTCAAGTGGGAGAGAAGTGAAAAGGGTGTTGCAATCATTGGATGCATGATCATTGAAGAACAACTGAAATTCAAGCCTATGCGAACCATCATCTTCAGATTTGTGCTTGTTTTCTATGGCATCTATTATGTTTTGCACAGCAAAAAAGTATTTGGTCCAACTGCGCATCCCAAGTCTGCGATACAGAGTCCATTAGAGGCAGAAGTCAGGCTCTTAGTGTCAAGCCTCTCGACAATTGCCTCTTTGATCATTTCCCTGGCAACATTTGACGCATCCCTCTGTAAAGTTTGAACACAAGTCAATCAGCTTGCTGATACAGATTACGTCAGTGATGTATTGTTGCGATATACATAACTAACTGAAAGCAAATAACATATCCGAAAATCTTGAATTAGCACTAGAACAATATTATAGTGTTCTGCAAATTTTCTTGAAATGACCATAGAAATAAACTAGGCTAGCACTAGGTAGTACTCCATCTGGAATTTGCATTTCAAGAATATGATAATTGTAGCAGAAACTGCTAAAGCTGTGTCTCACAAGCAAGACGAGTCTAAGGTTCTATAGTTCCCCAGTGTATGCAATTCTCTCATCCGGAATGGAAAACTAAATAAGAGGCTGCTATATTAGATGTTACAGGAGGACAGGTACATGATATAGTAGTGCCTGGTAATGGGAATTTTTGGTATAGCTATACTTGCCATCACCACTGTTCGTTGCAAATGATTCAGGCATTGTAATGCTGTATGCAAATGATGATCACCTTTAGTTCTGTATTTCACTTTCCCAGTCTCAAATTATGCTTTTGCACCTTAGTTTTCCTTGTGTGAGAAAATTTTAGATAATTATATATTACTAAGTCTGTAGCATACTATCAGCCTTTGGAGTCATAGTCTAACGGTCCAAGAGTTTTATGGTTAGTGGAAAGTGGGAACTTGGTACCATACTTTTGTTTTAGTCCGTTAAGGTTTCCTATGGGTATTTTTCTTCTCTTTTTTTTTATGGAACTTCTTTCTGTCCAATAGCAGCCACCGTTCATGAAGTAGAAAACAAGAAAATCCCATTCTCCCGACGATTTAATTCTTTTCCTTTGTGTTTGAGGGGAAGGAGAGGGTGTAATGCTGAACAAAACTACAAAATGAAGCACAGTTTGATTAAACAAAAGAGCAGAATCCTGTAATTTGATTAAACAAAGAGCAAAGTCCATATCCTCCTTTGTTTTGTCTTTTTATTTTTCATGAATTCTGGGATTAGTGAACCCACCAGGAAAATCGACCAGATTTTGAAAGTGAGCAGAGGCATATACGTGGCCCATGACTTGAATTCTACGACTTGGAGAAGTTGAGTGGTTAATGACTGATAGGGTGCAATTTATTTATTTATTTTATTATTAATTCCTCCTATTACCTGACTTGATGTGGATTTATTTGCTGGATTCTACTCACTTTTAGTATTTGACGTTTATTTCAGGGAGTAGAATATAAATATGATAACAGGTGCCAAATTGGAAAAAAAAAAGAATTCAGATGAGAAAGCTTGTCCCAGGGGCACTTTTGGAAGAGAAGATGTCATGCCCATTTTGGTAATTTTCGCAAGGAAATGACGGACGGAGGGCTTCGCTTCCTGTGGAGGTCCCGCCGCAATTAAAAGAAAAAAGGCAGCAAGCCTGGGAGAGCTAGCTTGTTCTTGATTCTCCGTCTGGAGCTTAGCAGCAATTTTTGACTTTTCCCTTGTAATTCACTTTTTGGCTTGAGAAGCCTACGGATGTTAGGAAGAAAAGGCATTTGTTAGCCTTGGGCTTTGACTTTTCCTTTTCCTCTTTTTTGAATCCTGCGCATGGCAGGAGCATTGGAGAATTGTTTCTTTTGACTTTTTTCTTTAGCTTGAGACGAAGTGAAAACCATGAACTTTCGTAGCTTTTCTATTCATTCGATATATTGAGACGAATTGGATTTTGCCAAATTTCAACGGACATGGCCGCTGGTTTCTCTGCAATTTTGTGTGGGTTTAGTTCATCAATTATGAACTAATTTTTTCCACTCTAGTCAAGGAGCAATGGATGCTTTGGGTCACCTAAAATTGTGAGATCATTCTAATTTAATCTTTTCCTTTTATTTATCGGTATTCGCATATTCCTTGATTGATAAGCTTATGATTATTTAATTAATTGGTTGTCTTGGATCCGGATAATTAATTGATTGGGTAATCTATTGTCAATTGGGGTATTAAATCCGTAATTGTTTAATTACCTCAAAATAGTGACAACTGGCACGATTAGATTCGTGTCAGGGGGATACGCGGGTTAATCTAAAATAACCCTGGTAGTGTGTTATTTGGTTAGAATAGGGCTCATCTAATACGTAAGGCAGTTGGGGAATTAAATTCTACGGGCGTACCTAGGATTATTTCTCAACTAGAGCAGTGATTAACGGGCGTACCTTGATCACCGACACAGTAAGGAGGGGTTGACTGCCAACGCTTGGTTGGTAGTTATAACCTATTTATTGGTAAATAATTGGGATTGTCTTTGCTTCGATGATCAATTAGGTGAACCATTGCTGAAGTTACTTCTTGGCTAGATCTTTAGTTAATATTTCCTTGATTGTAGTGGATTGCCATTTGACTTTTAATTGCCTACTTTATTTTATTTTTGATTGTTTCCTCGTTTTAATTAATTTAGGCCTTTAATTATTGTTATCCTGAGTTCAGAAAATTGTGGTTTAATTTCTAGTTAGTTGTTTATTTTTACTTTCCCATTTGAATTTATTTAATTATCGTCGTTCCTACAAAATCCCCCCTGTGTCACTTTGGATTTCTTAAGAAACGAATATACCCAATCTCTGTGGATACGACCCTACTTGCCCTGTCTACAAATTCATAATCACTTGTGAAAAGGAATAACCATTCCATTCGGGTATATCGGATCAAGCAAACTCTTCGGAAACAGGGTGAATCAAGTAACCCATTGCACACCTAGAGTCCCTGCTCCAGTACTTGAAATTGGGTTTTGGTCATTTTAACTGACAATTAGGTTTAATTTTATTATTGCACAGGCTGACGACCTGTCAATTTTTGGCGCCGCTGCCGGGGACTGGCGTTATTATTTGTTTCTTTTTAAATTCAATTTTGTCCTAATTTTCTGGTTTTCTTCTAGTGTATGCCTCGATCTTGTCGCACAGGTGATTTGGTTTTTGATCCTGAGGTAGAGAAGACCGTGCGTAGAACGAGAAAGGAAACCAGACAGCTCAAAGAAGAGCACTCTAGTGCTACATCTCAAAGACCCGAGTCAGAAGTTGAACCAACAGATTCGTTTGGTAACACTTCGAGTGACTCTGACCAGGAGGAGTTCACCATGGCTAATGCACAAACATTAAGGGAGTTGGCTGCTCCTGATTTAACTCAGCAGCCTTTGTGCATTACTTTCCCCGCTTTAAATGACAACATTCCATTTGAACTAAAATCTGGTCTGATTCAGCTTTTACCCTCTTTTCATGGTTTACCAGGTGAAGAGCCGTATAAGCATCTGCAGGAGTTTCATGTCGTTTGCAACAGTATGAAACTCCCGAGGATCACAGAAGAGCAGATAAAAATGAGGGCATTCCCCTTCTCCTTGAAAGATTCTGCGAAGGATTGGCTGTACTACCTGTCACCAGGTAGCATCACCACGTGGGGCCAATTGAAGAAAAAATTTCTGGATAAATATTTTCCGGCGTCCAGGGCTGCGAGTCTAAGGAAAGAAATTTGTGGGATCAAACAGCATCCCGGGGAGTCACTTTACGAGTATTGGGAACGGTATAAGAGCTTGTTGCGCAGGTGCCCCCATCACCAAATAAGTGAGCAGTTGATCATACAATATTTCTATGAGGGGCTCATTTTTAGAGACAGGAGCATCATTGATGCTGCAAGTGGAAGGGCACTGGTGAACAAAACCCCTCAGGAAGCACGGGAGTTAATAGAGGGGATGACAGAGAATTCACAGCAATTCAGTACAAGAGAGGATGTCCCAATACGTAGGGTGAATGAGATAGAGACACCCTTTGTGCAGCAGCAGCTAAATGAGTTGACTGCGTTCGTTAGGCAACAGGCTGTGAGAAATGCATCACAAGCCAGGGTATGCGGGATTTGCACTGGTATAGGTCACTCTGCAGACATGTGCCCAATGATTCAGGAAGAAACTGCGGAACAGGTGAATATGGCTGACCACGCGCCTGCGCCAAGGAAGCAGTACGACCCTTACTCAAGCACCTACAACCCCGGGTGGAGAGATCATCCCAACCTCAGTTATGGAGGGAATAGGCAATCCAACTTCACGCCGAACAGGCAGTCTAACTTTGTGCCGAATAAGCCACCAGGGTACCAGCAGCAATACCAACCCCGACCACCTCCGCCCCCTCAATCTGGTTCATCTACGGATGAGATGCTGAAACAAATGATGACAACCATGACGCAGAATCAGCAAAGGACGGAGGCAGCTATTATGCAAAATCAGCAAAAGACGGACTCCGAAATGCAGGACATAAGGAATCAGATAGGTCAATTGGCCACCAGAATGAACCGTTGGGAGTCCCAGAACCAAGGGAAGCTGCCATCTCAACCGGAGTTGAATCCGAAGAACGTGAGCGCAATGATCCTAAGGAGTGGGAAAGAAATTCAGGGGTCTGAACCTGTGATTTCCAAGGACAAGGATGAGGAGAAGATCGAAAATGAGCTCGAAAGGGAGGACAGCAATGGTGCAGTTCCAAAGGTACTTCCTGACCCAATAATTACAGTTAAAACTAACCCGCCTCCTTTTTCTAGCAGGTTGGAAAAATCAAAGAAACAGGATAAGGAGAAGGAGATTTTGGAGGTTTTTCGCAAGGTTGAGATAAATATCCCCCTCTTAGACGCCATCAAACAAGTACCAAAATATGCCAAGTTCCTAAGGGACTTGTGTGTCAACCGAAGGCGATTGAGGGGAGATGAACGGGTCATAGTTGGGGAAAATGTGTCTGCGGTCCTGCAGAGAAAGCTCCCACCAAAGTGCGGGGACCCAGGTATGTTTACTATTCCCTGTAGGATAGGTAATACGGTGATCAGAAGGGCCATGTTGGATCTGGGAGCATCAATTAATGTCATGCCTAAATCTATCTATGCTTCTTTGAAACTAGGTTCATTAAAAGAAACTGGAATAATTATTCAATTAGCTGACCGAACTAATGCATATCCTGATGGGTTGATTGAAGATGTGTTGGTAAAGGTTAATGATTTGGTGTTTCCAGCTGATTTTTATGTACTTGATATGGATGATGATCACTCCCCTGATCCCTCACCTTTGTTATTGGGTAGACCTTTTATGAGCACTGCACAGACGAAAATTGATGTTAATAAGGGTACCTTGTCCATGGAGTTTGATGGGAAAATTGTGCATTTTAATATTTTTGATACTATGAATTACCCCTCTAACTCCAACTTTAGCTCAGTTTTTGCTGTGAGTGCTATTGACCCTATAGTGCAGGAAGTGTTTGAAACTGATGGCAGAGATGAGTTGGAGGTGGCTTTAACCAAGCACCTCGAGTTGGAGACAACTCCTCAGGTGGAGTGGAGTGAGGATTTAAAATGCACAATCGGTGCATTACACTCACTGCAGACCACCACGAAAAGGTATGAAGTCTTACCTTTTTTACTCCCGAGCCTCACCAGAAGGTATTGCCATCTGTGGTGCAGGCGGCTGTACTGGAGTTGAAACCTCTACCAGAGTACCTGAAATATGCATATCTAGGTGATAATGAGACACTCCCGGTGATTATTTCATCGGCACTGTCAAAAATCCAGGAGGAGAAACTGATCCGAGTCCTTAGAGAGCATAAAGAGGCAATAGGTTGGACAATTGCAGACATTAAGGGAATCAGCCCGGCCGTCTGTATGCATCGGATTAGACTAGAAGACGATGCCAAACCTGTTAGGCAGGCTCAAAGAAGGCTCAATCCCCTCATGATGGAAGTTGTAAAGAAAGAGATTCTAAAATTGCTAGATGTGGGGATCATCTTTGCAATATCTGATAGCCCTTGGGTGAGTCCGGTCCAGGTAGTCCCAAAGAAGGCAGGAGTAACGGTAGAAGCCAACCAAACGGGTGACCTCGTGCCAGTACGCAAACCCACGGGATGGAGGCAGTGTATAGACTACCGTAGGCTAAACGCCGTCACCAAAAAGGACCATTTCCCTCTCCCTTTCATTGATCAGATGGTTGAACGTTTAGCTGGTAGGGCTTATTATTGTTTTTTGGATGGATTTTCAGGATACTTTCAGATAGCAATTGCCCCGGAGGATCAAGAGAAGACAACCTTCACGTGCCCATTCGGGACCTTTGCCTACAGACGAATGCCATTTGGGTTGTGCAATGCACCTGCGACTTTCCAAAGATGTATGGTAAGCATCTTTTCTGAGTATGTTGAGAAAATAATAGAAGTTTTCATGGATGATTTCAGTGTGTATGGTGATAGCTTTGATACGTGTCTAGATAACCTGAAATTGATCCTGATAAGGTGTTTAGAGACTAATCTCGTGCTTAATTGGGAAAAATGTCATTTTATGGTTGAACACGGGATAGTCCTGGGTCATATTGTATCGTCTAAGGACATTGAGGTTGACAAGGCTAAAATAGACATTATTTCTGCATTACCTTACCCCGCGAGTGTGCGGGAGGTGCGTTCTTTTCTTGGACATGCAGGTTTTTATCGAAGGTTCATCAGGGACTTTTCAAAAATTGGAGCCCCGTTGTTTCAGCTCCTACAAAAGGATGTGACCTTCGAATTCAATGATAAGTGTGAGGAAGCCTTCAACAAGTTAAAAGAATTGTTGACTTCACCCCCAATCATCCAACCCCCTGACTGGAATCTACCATTCGAGATTATGTGCGATGCCAGTGATCATGCCGTAGGGGCTGTATTGGGGCAAAGAGTAGGGAAGGCAGCTCACGTCATATACTATGCATCCCGAGCATTGAATGGAGCCCAGTTGAATTACTCCACCACTGAGAAGGAGCTTCTTGCAGTTATTTTTGCTTTAGAAAAATTCAGGTCGTATTTATTAGGTGCTAAAGTAATTGTATTTTCTGACCATGCAGCATTAAGGTACCTAATGACCAAGAAAGATGCAAAGCCGAGGCTCATCAGGTGGATATTGCTACTACAGGAATTTGACATGGAGATAAGAGACAAAAAAGGCTCAGAAAATCTAGTAGCAGACCATTTAAGTCGCATACCAATTGGGGAGGATAATGAGCCGTTGAGGGATGCATTCCCTGAAGAACATTTATTTTCCTTAAATTCTCAATTGCCTTGGTATGCCGATCTAGTCAATTATTTGGTAACTGGTAATTTTCCTGCAGGTTGGCCAAAATCAAAGAGGGATAAATTGAAGAGCGACGCCAAGTATTTTATCTGGGATGACCCGTACCTATGGAAGAGATGTGCCGACCAAGTAATGAGGAGATGTGTAAGTGAAGTGGAGTTTCAATCAATTTTAGCTTTTTGTCATACTTTTGCCTGTGGAGGTCATTTTGGACCTAAGAGAACTGCTCATAAGGTTTTAGAAAGTGGATTTTATTGGCCTTCATTGTTTAAGGATGCCTATGTGTTTTGTAAGTCCTGTGATCGCTGTCAAAGAGTAGGTAATATAACCCGCAGGGATCAAATGCCCCAGGTCCCGTTGATTTTTGTTGAAATTTTTGATGTCTGGGGTATAGATTTCATGGGGCCTTTTCCTACTTCATTTGGTTTTTTATATATTTTGCTGGCAGTTGATTATGTGTCTAAATGGGTGGCGGCAAAGGCCACTCGAACTAATGACTCGAAAGTAGTTGCAAATTTTATCAGGTCTAATATTTTTGTGCGATTTGGAATGCCTAGAGCTATTGTCAGTGATAGGGGAACGCATTTTTGCAACAAAACCATAGCTGCGTTGTTCCGCAAGTATGGTGTACTCCACAGGGTCTCAACGTCATACCACCCTCAGACCAATGGTCAAGCGGAGGTGTCGAATCGGGAGATTAAATCCATTTTAGAGAAAATGGTGCGCCCTGATAGGAAAGATTGGAGCCAAAGGTTGGAGGACGCACTCTGGGCCTATCGGACGGCGTACAAGACTCCTATAGGGATGTCACCGTACAGGTTGGTATTTGGGAAGCCGTGTCACCTTCCAGTGGAGTTTGAGCACAAGGCTTTTTGGGCAATAAAGCAATGCAATATGAATTTAGAGGAGGCCGGTGCTAAACGGAAGTTGGATTTGCAAGAGTTGGAGGAGATTCGGAACGAAGCATACGAACACGCCTTGATTTATAAGGAGAAAAACCGGGCATTTCATGACCAACAAATTTCAAGAAAAACATTTGAAGTTGGTCAGAAGGTCCTTCTGTACCAATCCAGGCTCAAGTTATTCCCAGGTAAGCTACGTTCCCGTTGGATTGGACCTTTTATTGTGACTCATGTTTTTCCCTATGGTGCAGTTGAAATCCAGAGTGCTAAGACAGACAACAAATTTGTGGTGAATGGACACCGTCTCAAGTATTATTACGAAGGATTTTCAGGTGGAGAGGGGGAGACAATAAGGCTAGACGCACCACCGTATTCTAATCAATGACACTTTACCATGTCTAGCCAAAGACATTAAAGAAAGGCGCTCATTGGGAGGCAACCCAATTGTTTCTTTCAATTGCTTGTTGGTTTCGTGTCATAGTTTAAATCTGTTTTCCCTTTAATTTGACTGATTTTGTGTTTCAGTTTTCGTCTTTGCTGATTTGTAGGTGACTTTCAGTCATGACGTGCCCGCGTGGTGACATGCAGGGCGCTCATGATCAGAAATTCTGAAACTTCTGGGAGCTCTCCTGCCCTCATGACGTGACCGCGTGGTGATGTGCAGGGCGCTCGTGATCAGAAATTTCTGAAACTTCTGGGAGCTCTCTTGCCCTCATGACGTGCCCGCGTGGGGATGTGCAGGACGCTCACGATCAGAAATTTCTGAAACTTCTGGGAGCTCTCCTGCCCTCATGACGTGCCCGCGTGGTGATGTGCAGGGCACTCGTGATCAGGAAATTCTGAAACTTCTGGGAGCTCTCGTTCCCGCTTGACGTGCCCGCGTCACGTTCGCGGGAAAGGTAAGAATTTGAAAAAAAAATGTTTCATTATTAGTATTATTGTTATTATTATTTTTATTATTATGCCTTTCATTAAAAGAAGAAGAAAGATTATTTCAAAAAAAAAAATCTTTAATTAAAAAAATATATATATATATAAATATAAGAATAATAATAATAAGAAGCTGGAAATTTTTCCTCTTAACCGTAGCAATGAATTTCATAAAAAAAAAAATTTTTTCTCTTCTTTTTTTTTCTTTCTTTTCTTTTCTTTCTTTTCTTTCTTTCTTCTTCTTCTTTCTTTCTTTCTCTTTTCTTTCTTTCTCCCCTGCTGCTCCCCTGCTCTCTGTCGTCCGAATCACTTCACCCGCCGCCACCTCGCGGATCGCGCACGCCGCTCGCTCGTCAGCCAAGGCCCAGCCACAGCAGGGCACAGCTCCAGCTCATCCACCGCAGTCGCGCGAGTCGCTGGGCGCCGCCACTTCCCTGCTCTGTGCGCCGCTGACCCAGCCCTCTCCGCTACGCGCACGTCGCACGCTGGCCACAGCTCCTCGCACAGCCAGCCGCGCGAGCTGTGCATCCACCGCCAGATCCCCAGCCGCGAGCAGCCCACAGCTGCCGCCGAGCTCTCCTCCGCCCGCGCGCCCCTGCTGCTCACGCCACCGCCGCCCACTGACGAATCTTCTCCGCCACCAGATCTGCGCGGCGGCCGAAGTTTCTCCCACCTTGAGCGCTCCACCGCCATCTCCACCTCCATAGCGCACCAGCTCTGCTCCTGCCGCAGCTCTTCCCTCACGCAACCACAGCCGTACCAGCCACAGCGGACCGCAGCCCCCTCTCACTCCAGCTTCACGACACAGCTATCTGCTCTATCTGCAGACTGGCGGGGTACTAGTGGAGGTATTTGGACTTTATTCCCCAATTTTTGATATCTAATTGGTACTGCCTGGGTTGATAACTAGTTGCTACTGTCAACGGTTGGAGGTTATTTTTCAATTGTGTGAGTTTCCACCAGTGGTACTGGGTGGATTATTTTTGCTTGGACTGGCTAATTCTTTTGGGTTGGGTGAAATTGTGCATTTAATTGGCCATCTGGAGCCACTTGATGGGAATTTGGGGGAGCTATAATACTGCATTATGACTGGCTGAGTAGCTGTGTTTATTGCGTTGTTACTGTCCCCTTGCTGCACTCCTATTGCTGAATATGAGTTAGCAATTTTTCTTGGCCAACTGGAGCCGTTTATTGAGATTTTAAATGTGTTGCAATGCTCTGATTATTTGTTCGATTTGGAGATGACTTTGTGAACATCACATTGCTTGGGGATATTGCCTGAATTGCTGGATAACTCGCTGGGGTTTCTCTTGTGGTTTTAGCTGAGTTATTTCTGAATTGCTTGTTGATTACGTGCTGGAACCCTTTTGTTTGCTATTGGCTGGGTTATTACTGGGAGGTTTTCGCTTTGTTATTTCTGGTTTCTATACCTGTTAGATTTTCGGTTGCCTTGAACTTACTGTTGGGGGACATGGTGAGACCAAAATCATCCTCTAGGTCTAGGACCCCTCGTTCTCAGCCTCCTCCACAGGCATCTATTCCTGTGAATACACCTACCAACCTACCGTACTCCTCTAATGTCCGAACCCGTTTGGGTAGGGGTAGGGGTGCTCAGGTAGATACCCCAGCTCACTTTGGAGGGCACCTGACCTTCACTAGACCTGCGGATCAGCAGAGGTATGCCAAAGTCTGTGAGCGGCGTATCATACCTTGTAAGACTAGTGACAAATTAAGCATGATGGGCCTAGGCATACGAGAGGAGGTCAAGCAGATGTTTACAGCCATCGGGTGGCGCCCATATCTCTATATCTTCTGCCCCGCATTTGTCGAGCTGACTCGGGAGTTTTATGCTACCTTTGAGTTTGAGTTGCCCTCGAGGTTCACCGCCGCGACACCTAATGTCATTCGCTTCCGTCTGATGGGTCGGGAATTTAATTTTTCGATTACCGAATTTAATTTGGCATTCGGATTCATTACTCGAGAGTATGCTGAGACGAGGGAGTATAGTGAGGGTGCCTGTGACTACGTAGAGCCATTTCTCTCCCGCTACCATGATGTATGGGAGGAAATGTCCGTCGATGGGGAGCGCTACGATCCTTTCCGGTCTAGGAGTTCCTTTCTTAAGGACCCTAGTGCCCGCTATGTTCAGCGATTCTTAGCTTACAGCTACTCGGGGCGCAAGGACAGCTCCGGTATACTCTCTCGCCCCGAGTTTTTCTTCCTCTGGAGTATGAAGAACAACATCAAGGTCAATTTGGGGTGTTGGTTGGCGGCGCAGTTCAAGACGGTTCTGACCAAGAAGAACAAACCTCTGATCCTTGGGCCCTTTATCACTCACTTGGCGACCGAGCTAGGGGTTATTGACTTGGAGGACCATGACCTACATTTGGCATTCGAGATGGAGCTCTTGGATGTGGATTGCTTAGAGAGGATGGGAGTCGTCGAGCGCTTGCCCGATGGTTCCTACCAGTTTACCCCTCCGGGACCACCTCGAGCTCCGGGTGCACGCCCTACGCCCCGACCAGGACCCTCTTCCTTTCATGAGTCGGCCGAGGACACTGCTGGGCCGTCATCTTCTGCACCACCTCCACGCCGTGGGACTTCTGAATGGCAGCAACTCCGGGAGCAGGTTCAGGATTTGCAGGCCCGAATGACCAACGTCGACGCCAATGTCGCAGGCATAGCACAGAATTTGGCGCAGTTTCTGATGCATACAAGCTTTGCACCTCCGTTCCCACCTCGCCCTCCGCATTGACCCGGTTTCAGGGAAGTTTGGCTGATTCCCCTCTCACTTTTGCTTCACTTTTGGTTCTTATTTGTCACATTGAGGACAATGTGTCCTATAGGTGTGGGGGGGATCTAAGGTTATGCTAGTGTGCTCCGTTTTTAGTAGTTTTCAGTTTTCAGCTTTACATTTTAGTAGTTTTTAGTGTTTTTAGTTTTTAGTAGTTTTAGTTTGTAGTTTTTGTTGGTTAATGTTTAAAAAAAAAAAAACCACAAAAGAGAAAAAAGTGAGTTTTTAGTTTTAGTAGTTTTTCGTAGTTTCATTCTTAGTTGCTTATTTTCCATTCTTTCTTCTTGGTGCTTACCCTTCATGTGAATGCTAAAAATTGAGATGTTGGTTTATTGCCTCCAAGTCTACTTTTGCCAAGTTTTTAAAATACAAAATGTATCGGGTTAATGTGGTTGGATCCAGAATATCTTCCTGGTGAATATCGAATTGCTCGGCTCCTTTGATTTCTGTGATGAATTTCTCTAGACATGGGGAATGACTGTTGGCATTTTAATGTGAACTGGTCCAATATTGACTCCAGTTCTCTATGTTTGGCAATAATGAGGCGAGCTGTTCCTATTTTTGGTTCTTAGTGTTGTTAGTATGTGTTTTTGGCTTTGCTTGGCTGTGAATAAGCTTGACTGTACTCCGCTATTAAGTTACTACTGAGTAACCGGGGATCGGCACCTAAAAGTGTCGATTCTCGCGACAAAAGGTGGTACTTTATATGAGTACGTGGTCATATAGCGGTAGGAGCTGAGTAACCGGGCTCCTTCATCTAAAAATGTTGGAGTTCGCGTCAAAATGCCCCGACGGCTAACGACTAAGTCTTTTTGTGTTAATTATTATTGTTCTGAAAAAAAAAAAGAAAAAAAAAACGAAAAAAGAGAGAATAAATAATGGGAAGGCTTGCTGGTTTTTGGACTTAATATGGAGACTTGTGTGAATATTTGGACCGTTAGCTGATAAATGTTGTGCGCCATTCCCTTTTCTTAGAGTAGTTAACCTGGAAATTGAAGGAATTGGCAGTTTAGGGGCTAACCGGGGGGATGCTTCTTGGATTCTAATCACCAACGCTCGATATGTGTTTTTCTCTTGAATGTCTTGGCAATATAGGAGATTGGGCAATGGCCATCGTCGAATTTTGGTGTTCGTTTACTTTTCTTATGCTTGAGGACAAGCATGGTTTAGGTGTGGGGGGAATTGATAGGGTGCAATTTATTCATTTATTTTATTATTAATTCCTCCTATTACCTGACTTGATGTGGATTTATTTGTTGGATTCTACTCACTTTTAGTATTTGACGTTTATTTCAGGGAGTAGAATATAAATATGATAACAGGTGCCAAATTGGAAAAAAAAAAAGAATTCAAATGAGAAAGCTTGTCCCAGGGGCACTTTTGGAAGAGAAGATGCCATGCCCATTTTGGTAATTTTCGCAAGGAAATGACGGACGGAGGGCTTCGCTTCCTGTGGAGGTCCCGCCGCAATTAAAAGAAAAAAAGGCAGCAAGCCTGGGAGAGCTAGCTTGTTCTTGATTCTCCGTCTGGAGCTTAGCAGCAATTTTTGACTTTTCCCTTGTAATTCACTTTTTGGCTTGAGAAGCCTACGGATGTTAGGAAGAAAAGGCATTTGTTAGCCTTGGGCTTTGACTTTTCCTTTTCCTCTCTTTTGAATCCTGCGCATGGCAGGAGCATTGGAGAATTGTTTCTTTTGACTTTTTTCTTTAGCTTGAGACGAAGTGAAAACCATGAACTTTCGTAGCTTTTCTATTCATTCGATATATTGAGACGAATTGGATTTTGCCAAATTTCAACGGACATGGCCGCTGGTTTCTCTGCAATTTTGTGTGGGTTTAGTTCATCAATTATGAACTAATTTTTTCCACTCTAGTCAAGGAGCAATGGATGCTTTGGGTCACCTAAAATTGTGAGATCATTCTAATTTAATCTTTTCCTTTTATTTATCGGTATTCGCATATTCCTTGATTGATAAGCTTATGATTATTTAATTAATTGGTTGTCTTGGATCCGGATAATTAATTGATTGGGTAATCTATTGTCAATTGGGGTATTAAATCCGTAATTGTTTAATTACCTCAAAATAGTGACAACTGGCACGATTAGATTCGTGTCAGGGGGATACGCGGGCTAATCTAAAATAACCCTGGTAGTGTGTTATTTGATTAGAATAGGGCTCATCTAATACGTAAGGCAGTTGGGGAATTAAATTCTACGGGCGTACCTAGAATTATTTCTCAACTAGAGCAGTGATTAACGGGCGTACCTTGATCACCGACACAGTAAGGAGGGGTTGACTGCCAACGCTTGGTTGGTAGTTATAACCTATTTATTGGTAAATAATTGGGATTGCCTTTGCTTCGATGATCAATTAGGTGAACCATTGCTGAAGTTACTTCTTGGCTAGATCTTTAGTTAATATTTCCTTGATTGTAGTGGATTGCCATTTGACTTTTAATTGCCTACTTTATTTTATTTTTGATTGTTTCCTCGTTTTAATTAATTTAGGCCTTTAATTATTGTTATCCTGAGTTCAGAAAATTGTGGTTTAATTTCTAGTTAGTTGTTTATTTTTACTTTCCCATTTGAATTTATTTAATTATCGTCGTTCCTACAAAATCCCCCCCTGTGTCACTTTGGATTTCTTAAGAAACGAATATACCCAGTCTCTGTGGATACGACCCTACTTGCCCTGTCTACAAATTCATAATCACTTGTGAAAAGGAATAACCATTCCATTCGGGTATATCGGATCAAGCAAACTCTTCGGGAACAGGGTGAATCAAGTAACCCATTGCACACCTAGAGTCCCTGCTCCAGTACTTGGAATTGGGTTTTGGTCATTTTAACTGGCAATTAGGTTTAATTTTATTATTGCACAGGCTGACGACCTGTCAATGACAGGTAAATACTTTTAGATAATGGGTCATATATAGAAGTCGCCTTATTAACTTCAAAAGTTTTTGGAAGTCCTAGTTGAGGCTAAAACTGAAAGTTTTGTTCCCTCTGCTTGGGATCAAAAGATGACCAGAACTTCTGAGGATAAGCCAGAAACTCAGTCACCTATTGCTTACTGATAATCTGATTGTCTCAGCTACAAAGGTAAGGTTAAGATTAGTTGGCGGTGTTGATATGAGTTCATGATGCAAAACAAAGAAAATATCCATCCCGAATTGCCAATTGGCCTTCAGCTTCAAGTCCAAAAGCCTTTCCCCAGTTTATATGTCACAAAACTAGAAATATTACTAATGTGTTAGTGAGAACAGACATTTACTGCTGCGAACTCAAGACTAAACAACATTGAGATTTTGGGCTGAAGATAAAATAGAATGTATATAAGTTATAACTGCTGAATACCTTAGTACTAGTAGTTCTAGTGAAATGCAGGAAAAAGAAAACTTTTATCTAGTTCGAAACTTTACAAATTCAAAACCCTAGCGAAGTAAAAAAATATGAGCAACGATTGAAGTATCTTTGTTTATCGAATGATCGAGGTGTCCACTGGACATTTTGCAAGCTAGAATAATCTAAATGGTCTATCTACCATATAGTCAGTGTTAGATAATTATGTCGTTTGCTTGTAAGGATCTGCAATAATAACAAAGGAAAGTGATTTAATTAATAATGCAACTGATACGATATTGGTGGATGGCTCAGTCCCTTGTTTCTCTCGTTTGCCCTTCTGTGTCTATCAAGTAGGGATCTTGCCTTCTACTGTCGTATTTTCTGACAAAGCTCTATATCAAAAGAGCTTAGAGTTCTGGATGCACGTTCTTACCTACATTTCAAGTTCACAAGGATCCAAGCAAATAAATTTTGATTTTAGCTTAGATTTTCAATCATTTTTTAGCATGAACCTATCACGTGACTCACACAGAGCTAAAATATTAGATTTCATTCGTAGTTAAATAAATAACTTTAACCGTATTCACTTTTGCCTCAAAAAAAAAAATCTAACTTAAATCATATTTATTCTTTCTCCTAAAGAAGTGGGATTTAACCTAAGTTATACTCAGTTTCGCCACTAAAAAAATGGGATATGATCCTTTTGTATATAAAAAATAACTGCATTTGGGTCACGTGATAATTTTAGGTCAAAAAGTGATTGAAAACTTAGGTAAACACCAAATTTTATTAGTTTGGATATGTAAAGAATGTAAAGATAACATTTTAAAAGTGAGGAACAAAAAAAATTTCATTCGATGAAATGTGAAGGATGTTACGAATGATTTTGCCTTAGTTAAATGTAGTTTTTTGCAGATGACAGTTTCGTCACGTCCCCATTACAGTTAGCAAATCATTTGAGGATCGATCCTCAACAAGCTGGTAATACTAATGTGGTCAAATCTTAGGATATATTTGGTAATTCAGTTAAACCTCAGAGGAGGTAGATGTAATTAACCCTCCCTATACGTAAAATTCGAAAAGAAGCTTGCCCGAGACCCAATCGCGTCAAAGTTGGAAATGTAATACCGAAAAGCATTACTAGTTTAACAACTTGTTTTCCAAAGGTCAATAAATACGAAATGCCTCTTGTAATTACGGGTGGTAACAAATACTAACAAAATGTAGAGATTACCCCTTTATGATTTAAACAGGTAGCTAACAGTTTGGCTAGAACACTTTCTTATGAGAGAATTTTTCTGGCACCCAAATGGCTTTATTGTATATGGTCCCTTCTTTCTTCTATAAAACCCAAAACTGCTCTACTGTTGCTGATATCCAAAGTGTGTTTTTCCTGTATATACAATTTGCAGTGAGACCCGTTAGGTCCAGTACTCTGTACATAACAAGATAATTAGCAATTCTAGCATCCATAATAAGTCTTACAACCATAGTACAATTCCCAAGAATCCAACCAAATTTGCTGCTAATTAGACAATGAAACATCAGCCTTACTACATACCTGATTACAAGAGAAAGAGACTAAACTACCCAACTAATTACTCAAACTAAAGTTCCTGGCTCTAATAAGGCTAAACACGATGATAGTCATCACCTTCTGCAAAATGTAAAACACAGAGGGGTAAGTGACTTTCATCCAAAGGCGTTTACTAAGAGCATTTATCATATACATATGCACAGCATGTGGTCATCCAATTCCAAACGGATCAAAGCATCAAAAGTTCAAACACCATTCACACACTTGTTCCCTATCGACAGACTAGGATATGCAGCAGGAAGGCTATTCCTTGCTTTTGATGCTTTCCAAATTCTGAAAAATTCACAAGTCTCTTGTACCTTTAATTGTCTAAGAAGTTCAAAATTATGAGAAGAGTATTTTATTTTATTCTTTTCTTATCAACCAGCGAACTAAATAATTATGAGAAATGAATGAACTGGAGGCAAATTAAGTCTATCATGCTGCAGAGCCCCTAAACCTAAAGCTTCGCTGCAAAACAAAGGCTTTTGCATCGAAGAAATTGCACACCCAAAGTAGTCGACACGACAATTCTTGGGGAGGGGTGGGATTTGGGAAGTGGAAAGGGGAGTGGATAGGGGAATTAGAACCCAAAACTTTTAATTCTTGGAGTCTCAACCGCAGCCATTAGACCAAGACCTCTTTGGAGAATCAACACTACAATTCAAACTATTAGGAGTAGTAAAAATTACATCATCATACCTATGAAAGTAACAATTCTCCCCGCTTCATCGACCTGCTAACAACGTCATGAACACGACATCCTCTGACCCTGCCATTGTGTGTTCTTCTAGAAATAATTACCAAGTTTCTAGATATTATTTCCAACAAATATTCCTCTGCAACATCTTCCGGTGCTTTTGACTCAGTTTCTTGTATCAATCCATTCGTGATCCACAGTCGCAACAATTTTCGAGCAGGGATTTCTTGATTCTCTGGAAATTCTCCTAAATAAAGAAAGCAGGGCTTCAAGTGATCTGGTAAGCTGCCATAAGCAACTTTTAGTAGAGAAAGGAACACATTTCTACCACGAACACGATCTGAGAACAATTTTTGTAACAATTCTAAACAGTAGGAAAGATTCCATTTATTCTTTTCCAGGACACCAGCCATGATAAAAATTGCAAGAGGTACTCCGTGGCAGTAGTCTACAAGCTCCTCTCCTATGCTTCCAAGTTCGGGAGGTAAATAAGTGTCACCAAATGTTTTTCTACGTAATAAATTCCAAGATTCACGGTGAGAAAGAGGAAAAATACATGTCAAATCAGCTTGCGAAGCCACATTACGCTTTCGGGCGGTCAACATAATTCTACTTCCCGAATTATCATCTGGAAATGATCTTCTTAAAGCATCCAAGGCTGCGCTGTCCCATATATCATCCAAAACAATGAGGTATTTTTTTTGCTTCAGACATTTGTACAGAACTCCAGCTAAGCGATCTTCATCCATGTCATAAATTCTGTTAGAGACAGCCATAACATCACGCAATATTTCTAAAAAGAGCTCCCGCATTCGATATACTTGAGACACAGTACACCACGCACGGATCTGGAAGTGTTCAGCAACTCGAGGATGGTTGTAAACCACTTGTGCTAGAGTTGTCTTACCCACCCCACCCATGCCGACAATTGAAATGATTTCCGTCCTCTTTGTTCCTGTTGTTAGTTTATAAGTTATATTGCTTATCTCCCTGTCAAGTCCAATTACTAAGTTGTCAATTCTCAGCGGACCAGCTGTGGCATCACTGTCGGCATCAATGCCATACCTTTTCTCGTCGTATATTTCCATGACCTTTGCTTTAATGATTTTGATGTCTTCCATTGCTGAAGGAAACCACAGCACAAAGTAGCCAAGAGCATTATCTCTGACCACAAGCAAATCGGTGATATACTTCGCCTTGCCCGCAACATCTTTAATACATGCCCGAAGATCTTTCACTTCTTGATGGTTATTATAGTGCTCTCCAGTATCCATGAGGAAGGATTCCAGGAACTGGAGCTCCCCGAGTAGCATTTCAAAGTGATGTTTCACGAAGACAACTGATTTGGCTTTGCCCTTTATATTGTCCAAGAGGTCAAATATTCCTACAGTTCCAAACGTTTCACAGCAATCTGTGAATAGAACTTGGAGGCAAGTTTCTTGGATCTCTGCTTTGAAAAGCTCAATCTTATCTGCAAACTCAGAGAGCAAACAACTCATTTCAGCGCCCATTTCCTCGTTGGTTACATGCTCATGAAGGAAAAAAATTAGAGATGCCGCCTCATTGGCTGTAGCTTCACACTTTGCCGACATCAGTTGATCCACTTCTTCCACGGGAGGATTGATGAGGAAGGTTCTGAGGAATCTGACCCCTTCCTGGAGGGTTTTAACTTCATCATTCATGTGAACCATCAAGCCTAACTTGGGAATTTTATTAAACTTCATCAATATAACCTCTGCCTTGATCAACTTAATTTTCACAAGCAATCTGAAAATGGAAAGATCCAATTCACTGGCCATGTCTTCTGTCATTCCACTGCCACCAGATGACGAAATAAGTGATGATGACTCACTAACAACAGAGTCAAGATGCAGCACAAACAATTCCCAGTCCTCTGAATTAGCCTCAGCATCTATGGTGGCCATGAGACAAGTTCTCAAGAACTCCATCCCCTCACGAAGGCTTTTAATTTCATGATCCTTAACACGGGACACCAGATTAGCTTCATGATTGTGTAGCCCCAATAACGATAGATCCACCTTAACCAGCTTGATCTTAAGCAGCAATATATGAAGTGAAAGCTTCGTTTCCATCATGGGATATTGCATCAAATTGTTTTCATGAATTGAATATATGAAAGTTATTACCTCGGCTCGTAGCGCTTCAACATGTTTGGAGAGTAGTTTGCCATCCTCTTCTTTCTCCTCAGGTAAATCAATTGGAACACTTCTTAGGAATTTCAACCCTTCATGGAGGGCTGTGTATTTATCCTTCATTGACACCATAAAAACTTCTTGAGAGTCTAGCTGCTGAATCAGAATGACCTCCGCTTTGATCAGCTTCATTCTCTGAAGAGACCTTGAGAGAACAAGATTCATTTCAACGACTTGCTCTTCTTTCACTTCGTTGACCTGAAATGATGCTGCCTCCCTAGCGGCTGATCTGATATCTGATGAGATCCTTTCCAAATCTCTAGTCGACTCATCTGGTAGAATCATTAGAAATTTCATGAGGCATATTAGCTCCTCATGAATGGAACTGATTCGATCTTTGAGGGATTCTATCGTGTTTTCCAGGAGAAAGTTGACAAAGCTTGCGATTGCATCTGTTTTTGCCGTTTCCGGTCCCATTGGCAACGAAGCTTTCAGAAATTGAATGAACATCTCCATCAAATCTGAACTAGAGGGCTTAACCTCCTGAAGTAAATCAGAAAGCTTAACATCCGTATGACAAGCCATGACTTCTTCGGGTGCCCCATCCCAACACAAAAAGGAGAACCATGCTGCTTTGGTTGCAAAAGAATGAGCATAGGCAAGAAAAGTTGCCATCTCCTGATGAACAATATTGGATTGCTTTGCAGCCGTCCCAATGAAATCCCTCAGGAAACTTAACTTCTCTATTAGTATTTTGACTTGTTTCTTCATCAAAGAGACTAGACAAGTCGAGCCAATAAGAATATCCTCCAGGTGCTCCAGTACAGAGTCAATTAAATCCATGGCAGATGCAGGATCAATCAGAGGAGAGTTGACCTCCCTCCTCCAGGGCTGCTCAGACAAGATAGCATAAGCATTCTTTATTTTGGGTTCCCAAAGTTTTACATTTTCCAGCATGTAAGAAACCGAAGAATCAACTTTCTCCAAATCCACTTGCAGAAAACAAGCAGAAGAAAGCTCATCTATCGCCTTGCTAAATGCAACATCAGTTTCAAAAATGCTGGTTAACGAGCTTGATGCAGAAGGAATAGCCTCAGGTATTCCTGTGGCAATCAAGCAAGTCCTCAGAAATTTTGATTTCTGTTTAAGGGTCAAGACTTGATCCCTCAACGGAGATGCCAAGCTGCAATTCTTCTCTAGCCAATCCAGATTTTGTATGGGAGAATCCAGGAATGTGTTGACCATCTTGGTTTCTCTCTGTTTTTCTCCCTGACACAGATTTGTGGCAGAAATGAAGGATGTGATGATCAGAAAACGAAAACAGAAAGAGATTTGCTGTGATCAAACGAAGAGAGACTCTAGCTGACAAGTGCTGTGAAGCAACAAACCAAAGTTGTGGTAAAATTGACTGGGAGTTTCTACCGAAACAATATTATAGTCTTATTAATTAAGACCGCCAAAGACTCTCCCCGGTCTGTCATCTATCTATGCTCCATATAAAATGTCTTGAATGATTTACATTTTGATATTTCTTACTTTTTTGGATCTTGCTAATATACCCATACTAATTATGATGATAGCTCTAATATACCCGCACTAATTATGATAGTAGCTTAACCATAGACGAAAAAATTGTCATGTCTAATAAACATGGTGAAATAAGTCTTACTCTCCGATCAAAATATGAATTCTTAATTCTGAATCTTAACCTATCAAATTTGGTTGAACCAAACCCCAATCAAACCCTACAAGAGCCAATTAAATCAGCACAACTGTCCCTGAACAATGGCATTAGAAAGAAGGAATTTAAAATGACCGTATCCAAAATATGATTTCTTATAGTCAAAAGCATAAAATAAACAAAGCTCTGGACAATCATATTGACAATTGAAATCCACTTTCTTAGATGAAGTTATGAAGATGCCACTTCCTCTGATATTACCATTTTAATTCACCACAATGATACTCCTGTCCATAGAACAAATCAAGTAATTGTTTATGATTTCAACTTACGATTTCTTCCTTGATACAATAATTGGAAACAAAACGAATGCTTCCATAGTTATGATCCGAGAACACATTCCAGCAAGTAAAAAATTTATGCCTTCACTGTGAGAAACCTTGGCGGAGCATAATGCTATGCCGTGGTAGCACTAATACAACCTCACTGCGTTTTAATTTATTTCTAATTGAGCATTGTTTATCGATTTGATAGGTATATATTTTATGCTTGACTATCTATGGGAGTTCAAGGGCTCCTGTTATGTGTGTTTAGAATAAAGTGATCCAATAGAAGTCAGCTGTCAAATCTGGTCTAAATTTGGCAATTCCAAGAGAAGTGATAAATCTATATGCTATCTATTGCTCAGAGGTATAACATAGAAAAGAATCTATTGGTTAAGAGGTATTTATAGGGTAACTTAGGCATAATTTAAATGTTTTAACAAATGCCCATTAGATACGCATTCAAAAATTATTATTTTAACAGAATTGTTTAAGGTAGAAATTTTTATCTTCATTCATTGCTAAGTTAACCATGCGATGGTCATAAACCTGTGCATAGTAGCTCTATCCATCAATGTTGTCGTGGAAAATATTATCCCTCTATACAGCAAAAGCAAACAAGGAGGAAGTATTGATGCAGTTAAAATAACTGTATTCATAACTGTGTTCAAAGAGCTCCATGAAGATGGTCAAAAACATGCACAAAAAAAAAAAAAGGTGGTACCATTTAACAATATCCCCAATATGTAAGTGGTTGATCAGACATATGATTGTCTATTAGTTATTGATAGGGTATAATTTGTTAGTAAATTTATTATTGATTTCCCCTTCTATCCCTGACAAATATTGTGTTAATTGCTGATATTTACTCATATTTGGTATTTGGAATCAATTTCAGGAGTGAAGCAGAAAATTACCAAAAAGGAGGGACTTGTATGGGAAAATGCAGACTTCTAAGGGCTTCAACCTTTGGGTCCTTGAATTGGTGGGGACTACAAGCTAGTGCAAGGCATTTAGTCATTTGGGCTTTTCAAAGAAAGCAACGTAGAGAGACTTGGAACAACAAGTACTTTGGAGGCTTTGTCCACATGTGCGGGAACCACGGATAAGAAACATGAGTCATTTGGACTCTAGGAAAAGAAACGTACAAGACTTTGAATTTGGTGTGGGGACCACTAGAGATAGCATTAGACTTCCTTTTGGCTTCAAAAAGGGAGAAATGTACGAGAGGTTTATCAATCAATAGTTTTAGTTTAGGCTTTTAGCATAGTTTTAGTTTCCTTTTCTTAGCTCTTTCGCATGATTGTTCTCCATTAATGGAGAACTAACCTCTTAATTCAAGTCAAGGGGACAACTGGAGATTTAGTTCAACAATTACTGTGAGATCTAATTTATTTTAATTGCTTCCTTAATTTATTGGTATTTATATGTTCCCTACTTTTAATTTCTATAGCTCGTGTGAGTAATTGAATAGATGCGCAATATTTAATTATTCACATAGGCTATTTTGCTAAATAGGGATAATTGAATCCGTAATTGTTCGTTATCTTTATCTCAGTAGCAATTGGCGTAATTGGGTTTATGTCAGGGGAGCATACGATCTAACTTAAACAAACCCTCGTAGCGTGTTTGTTAGTTAGGATTGGGTCTTTCTAATTATTAATGCAATCTAGGAATTAAATCCTACGGTCGTACCTAGGGTTGTTTTTGGGTTAGAGAAATAGTTAACGGTCGTATCTTAACTATCGAGAAATTAAGGGAAGGTTGGTTGTTTATCCCGTGCATGACAACTATAACTGGTCTATTAATAAATGTGGAATTATGTGTGAATCAATGATCAGTGCCTGAACCATTTCTGAA